CCTCTCCCCTCCTACCTCGGCCATATCTCGGCGATGTCTCGGCCATATCTCGGCTGCATCGCCGCACATTATGCGGTCAGCAGCGACTCGTGTCCCGCCGTGAGCAGGCCTTCACGCCCGTGTTCGTCGTCGTGATGCTATACGCGACGCGCGTCGAGACTCCCTCCCCTCGCGTCGCGCTGTCGGTTGGGCTGATCAGCGCCGCCACTGCCATCGCTAGCGCGGGCGAGGCGCACTTCAACCTGACGGGCGTGCTAATCATGTGAGTGCCTCGCCGAGATCTGGCCCCGAGAGTGTCCAGCCGTTGTCGAGCATCTAGCCGAGCGAGGCTGCGCGAGGCCGAACTCTTTCAAGACCTTCTCGGACCCTTTCAAGACCCTTCTCGGACCCTCCTCGGACCCTTCCCGGACCCGGCTCTGGTAGGTGCGCCGCCGAGACGTGTGAGGCAAGCCACCCACAGCCGGCGAAGAAGCTGCGGTCGACTGCTTCTCGAGAGTGGTTTCACGAAGCAGGCGACGCGGCTCGTGCTGACGCAGAAGCTGCTGACGAACCTCAAGTTCCCGGCGAGGGACGGGCGGCTGCGCTGCGCGCCGCGGAGGATGGCCGAGGTAAGCGGAGGCGCGCCGGGGCACTAGGCGATGGAGGGGCTGTACTACATGGCGCCGATCTGCGCCGGCTGGATGTTCGGTCTGGCTGCTGTTTTAGAGGTGCCGCGCGAGTCTGATCTCGGCTGTCTCTCGGCTGTCTCGGCTGTGTCTCGGCTGCCTCTCGGTTGCATCTCGGCCGCATCTCGGCTGCATCTCGCCTTTGCCTCCTCTTCTCTCTCGAGGTGCCGCGCGCGCTCGAGAAGAATGTCCTCTCGCCCCTCGCGCCGAAGGCTGGCCAGCGGTGAATAGCGTCTCTCCACGCCTGGCCCGCTGTGGATAGGCCTTCTCGCTTGTCGCTCCCAACGCGGCGGCATTCGCGACGGCAGTGGTGCTCGGCTTCGCCGTCAACATCGCCTCTTTCCTGGTGATTCAGAGGACGAGCTCGGTCGTCCTCGAGCTGTTCGGCAGCGTGGACTCTTCGTCTCGTGATTGTCTCCGTTTTGTTCTAGGCGAAGCTCGAGCGGCTCGGCAGAGGCAGAGATGGTGGCCATTGCCATTAAGATTGGCCCCGTTATTGCCCTCAGGTGATGCTCAAGTTGCTTGGCACGGCGAGGAACGCAGGCCTCGCCCTGTCCATTAGTGATGACTGAGTAATGACTCGGTCGTTCACTGTTACCGCGGAGCGCGCAGGCCTCGTCCTCTTCAGCGCGGTCTTCCTCGGCGAGGAGATCACGCCGCTGCAGGGGTTCGGGTACGCGCTCTCCCTCGCCTTCTTCGGGCTCTACAACTACTACAAGATCAAAGGGCTATAGCCCGTCGCGTGTCATTCCAGTCCGCTCGCCCCGTCATTCCAGTCCGCTCGCCCCGCCTCCCACCGGAGCGGCTGCTCTCGATCGCGAGTTGCAGCCCACTGATGGTGAGCTGGTCGCTTTGACAACGTGAGTGTGATCGAAGCACACACTGTTAAGTGCTGTTAACGCGCAAAACGCAACACAGCGTGTTACGGGGTTTGTTTGGTGTTGCTAAAGATCCCCCTCTGCGCACGGTCCAGCTCGGCGAGCAGCAGGTCGATACCAAACACCGAGCCGCCGTCCTGGACGTTGGCGGAGAAAGCGCGATCCGCGCGGCGGCCGAGCATGCACCGCCGCGCGAGCCGCACAACGGATTCCTGATATCGCTCCAGCGCCTTTGGATCCGTCAGCCGCCGGCCTGGGTCCCGCGCGCCAGCAAAGCCGAGTGAGGTGCGGATCGCCTCAAGCATGGCAAACCCGACAGCGTCCTCTCCGATGCGTTCCACGGCGTTTTCATCCACCCCCTCAGCGGTGAGCGCCGCAGAGTACGCCTCCCAAACCCGCGCGATAGCTTCGCGAAGAGAGGTCAGCGGGTATGTCGCCGTGCCAACCGCGCGTGAACCCGTTGCCCTGCACGTCTCGAGCCGGAAGATGAAGCCGCACACCAGCGCGAAGAGGAGGGAGCCAACGTCGAGGCCAGGCGCGCACCAGACCGCGAATTCTGGGTCTATGACCTTGACAGAGCCGCCGTCTTTGCTAACCATCACTGAGCCGGCGTGCAGGTCGCCGTGGCAGAGCGCGCGCACGTCGCCTGGTCGGAGTGAGTAGCCGAGGTAAAGAGCCTTTAACTCGCTCACCTCGGACATAAAGGCGGCGTCCTTGGCGAGCACGCGGCCGCGCTCTGACGCCTCGAAGCAGACTGTGAAGACGTGCTCGAGCTGCACGGCGCGCAGCGCGTGATTCCAGTACGCGACCGCTCGCTCCGCTGTTTGGGCCTCGCGCCCGGGCCGCTCGAGTGTCCTACCGTGCACCGTGCCCAAGTAGCGTCCGAGGGCCGCGGCTGCGTCTCCAGGCACCCCATCCTCCGACGCAAAGCACCGCTCAATCAGGAGGGAGTGGTCCTCCAAAAAGGCTATCACCACGACCATCCGGCGCTCGTCAAAGTGGAGCAGCCGCGGCAAGAGCGCGTCAGCGTCAGCCTCGCCCAGCAGCTGCGCGACGTCGCGGTAGTATTGCACTTCGCGCCGCATCCTCTCCGCCTCGAGCGCCATCGACGGCTGCCACTTCAAATACCCCGTCGCGCGCTTGAGGAAGAGCGATCGGCAGCCCCGCCGGTACACCCGGAATGAATAGTTGACGTTGCCGTCAGCGATTTCGACCGCTGCGACCGATGGCACCAGCGCTGTTAAGAGGCACGAAGCGACGCACCGCGGCAGAGCGAGGAGGTGGTCGGGGGAGAGAGCGCGAAGTAGCAAACGACTGGCGCCCTCGGGCGCGAAGCCGTCCGCCCAGGCCTCGCCGTCGCACGCACACCGCGCGACGTAGAGGGCCGCAGCGGAGGCGTGCATGCAACGCCGAGCGAGCGCAGTAGAGGCCGCAGCGGAGGCGTGCAACGCCGAGCGGAGGCGTGCTCAACGCCGCGAAAACCGCGCCGCCTTTCGTGTTTTTTGTGTTTGCCAAAATGTTCACTTTCAATTTCTCATACAGTACAACGGATGGTCAGTGTGCCTGTGGTTGCGAGAGACTGCCAGTGAGAAGCTGGAGGCAGGTCGCTAGACTGAGATGAGGCCGCCAGTGGAGTTGGGATTCCACCGTGCACCGCGCTGCGAGCCTGTCGTGTCCCTTGTCACGTTGTCATGAGCTGTTTGAGGGCCCAATTTGAGAATCGTGCTTTTTGGGTTGGGCAGACCGCACGAAAACGCCTCTGTCGACCAAAATAAGACTAGGGTGCGCAAAAGCAAGACTGGATGCGCCCAGGCGGATCTGGCTAGCCAGGCTGGGCCCCTCGCAAACGACCCGCGAGACACCGCTCGCGATTATAAACGAATCGGCTATCAGCAGCAACTGGCAGACCGCGCGAAAACGCCTGTGTCGACCAAAATAAGGCTAGGGTGCGCAAAAGCAAGACTGGATGCGCCCAGGCGGATCTGGCTAGCCAGGCTAGGCCCCTCGCAAACGACCCGCGAGACACCGCTCGCGATTATAAACAAATCGGCTATCAGCAGCAACTGGCAGACCGCGCGAAAACGCCTGTGTCGACCAAAATAAGGCTAGGGTGCGCAAAAGCAAGACTGGATGCGCCCAGGCGGATCTGGCTAGCCAGGCTGGGCCCCTCGCAAACGACCCGCGAAACACCGCTCGCGATTATAAATAAATCGGCTATCAGCAGCGACTGGCAGACCGCACGAAAACGCCTCTGTCGACCAAAATAAGGCTAGGGTGCGCAAAAGCAAGACTGGATGCGCCCAGGCGGATCTGGCTAGCCAGGCTGGGCCCCTCGCAAACGACCCGCGAGACACCGCTCGCGATTATAAATAAATCGGCTATCAGCAGCAACTGGCAGACCGCACGAGAACGCCTCTGCCGACCAAATTCTAAATAAGGGTTAAGGCTAGGGTGCGCAACAGCAAGACTGGATGCGCCCAGGCGGATCTGGCTAGCCAGGCTGGGCCCCTCGCAAACGACCCGCGAGACACCGCTCGCGATTATAAATAAATCGGCTATCAGCAGCGACTGACAGACCGCCACAAAAACGCCTCTGCCGACCGAAATACGCTATACGGATATTGTGCGCAAAAGCAATGCTAAGGCTCCGGCTCAGGTCGCGGGGCATAGCTCGGGTGTAAACGGGGTCTGGGGCGGATGCCCCAGCGGCCCGCCGCAGGCGCCGCCGGAGGCCCTGGCCCGCCGCAGGCGCCGATTTTTTGGCGTTTTTGCTCAAATTTGAGATATTTCTCATCAAATTCTCATCAAAATCGAGCTCGCTACGAGCTCTCTAACTGCAGGACAGCATCTCCTCGTTGAGCCCAGCGGCGCCCGTATCGCCCACGCCCACATTCTTCTTCTTCTTCTTGCCCTTCTTGCCCTTGGCCCTTGCTGCACTTAGCCGCTCAACCTCCGCCAGCAGCGGCTCCTTGGCATGCCGCGCATTCTCCATCTGCTTTGCTTCCCACGCTGCCGCTTCCTCTAAAGCAGCGCCGCCACTAAGCGGCACAACCAAGTTCTCGCACTGTTTGCATGAGCATGTGTCTTGCTTGGCGCGGCGCACAATCCGCGCGCGGCGAGTGAGGTGCGTGAGAGCAGAAGACTCGCAGGTCGGATGGGCGGTGACGCCGTCGAGCGACGGCGCAAAGGCCAATCGCTGCTGCTGCGCCAACGAGAGCGGCGACACGAGGCTGCTGGCAGCTGGCAGAGCGAATTGCGATTCCGGCAGCCGCCGTCAGCCCGCCGACACCGACGGCCGAGCTGAGGTCAAACTCCGCCACAGGTCGGACCATCCGTGCGTCAGCCATGGGACGAGACGTCTGTGTGCAGACAGCCCGCCACCCGGGCGATAGAACATGCCAGCTGCTTGCAGGGCTCTCGTGGCCCGTGGTGAATAGGGCGGGCTGCGGCGGGCGCATAAACTATTCACAGCTTATGAACACCGGGAAAACTAAAGTCTGCAGAAGTGAGAAGAGTTCGAGTGGTCTTCGTGCTCAGAAGGATCAAGAGAGCTCTATTCTCACACCCTTTGTGTGTTGAAGACCACAGGCAATGCCCGTTTACACCCAACCGACGAGTCGCTGGGCCCTCTGACCTGAGCCGCAGCCTAAACAGGCGGAATCTGATGCAAAGCAAGCATCTGCAAGATCTAAACCATGCACCAGAGGGTTGCATCGACTTTCCATGTCAGGTCTGCTCAGTTGCATCGACTAAACACCCCCGTTCCATCGTGGAGCCGCCACCCGCCGTCTGCACGCGCGCCCCGCCGCCCTCTCCTATCCTAGCCCCGCCATCATGGGCGACGAGACCGCCCTCACCATCCTCCCGCCATCAGACGCCCTGGAGGGAGGAGGGGGAGGGGTGAGGGGGGGATGGGGTGGTGCGGTGGCGGGAGGCGCGGCGAGGGCCGCTGCCGCCACATCCCCTTGAGCGGCTAGCCGCGAGGAGGCTACTCGAACGTCGAAGGGTCTCTCGGGAGAGACTCGCACCTCGCCCAGACGCCCGAGGCGGGACGGCGGGCGGGAGGCGAGCGGCGGTCGGTGCGGTCGAGCTTGCCGAGCCCTGCGTCCGGCCGCGGCCAGTCCGCCTGTCTATCGAGCGGCGCCGAGCAGAGCCCGCAAGGGCTGCTGCACGTCACTGCCGCCGCCGCCGCCGGACACGGCTCAAAGATGGAGGCCCAGCCACGGCCGGCGGCGGCGGGAGCGGCTCTTCCAACCGCCGAGGCGCCCCAACCGCCGAGCGCCATCTCGTCGGACGGCGAGCCGGAAAACGGGTCTTCGTGATCACTATCGCTCGCACAGTCGGATCCGGGACCACCGCCGCCACTCCACCGGCTGTCGCGCGTGGAGCTCGAAGCTCGGTGTTGTGAGGGCGCTCGTCTCGCGAGGTCCGACTCGATGAGCCACGAACGGCGGGTGCCGTGGACGACCTGGCGCGACATCGAGGGTGACGCAAAGTCGCCGCTGCGTGCAGCTTTATCCGCGGCGAGAGACGCCACACAAAGGGAGAGCGCAACAGAGGGTTGCACAAGATTGCCGAGACTGCAACTTCGATTCGCTTTTTCTTAAAATTCCTGGAAGGCTCAAAACTGTATTTTTAAGAATTCTTTGAGCTTAGCCTTCGATGGTATGAAACAAAGGCGGACATGGCATATCGCTCTCGGGCCCACAGACATCCCGCACACCCGCGCCGCCCCCCGCGCGCGCTCCACCCTGGCCGGGAGAAAGGGGAGTGACAGCTTGGGACGGCAACAGAACGAGTATCTTGCACTCCATGTGCAAATACGCAGAGAGAAATGAAAGCCGTCCGGCTCACAAGTCCGGCTCACGCGCCCCGACCTGACCCTCTACCGCACTGATCACTTCCGCCCCCTTGCTCTCAACCCATCCACCTCGCCTCGGGCCGCGCCGCGCGATCTCGGACGATCTCGCGCTATCTCGGGCGATCTCGGCACTCGGGGCCGCGCCGCGCTATCTCGGGCGATCTCGGCGGAGCGCCGGAGCGTCGCTCGCGCGGCGGCACACCTGCTCAAAAAAGGAAGGAGCAGGAGGTTGGAGGCAGGAGGTCACGCCCCATCCAGAGCGCCGTCGTCGCCGGGTTTTTGGCCCCCGGGTCGTCGCCCGACGGTTGCTGCGCGGGGCAGCAGACCATCGGACGGCGCGACGACGCCCCGTCCGGCACGCTCCCCTGCACGCGGCTATTTTTCTTTTTTTGCTGCTATTTTCGTGCTTCGTTTTGACAAGGGATTATACCGAAAGCATCCCTCGAAGAGCCGGCCAGCGCCGTAGAGGATCCCCGATCCTCAAAAAAAAGAATTCGGCGCATATCCTCGCTCGCCTTGTCCGGCGCCGCCGCGCGGCCGGCCCCGGCTGCGCCCGGCCTCATCACCACGCACGGCGGCGATGCTCACCTCTCCGCAGTCTCACCGTTCGGCTCGCCGTCGGCTCCTCGGCTCCGCCGCCCGTGTCGGCCTCCTCCTCGTCTCCGCCGCCTGTCTCGGCCTCCTCCTCCTCGCCGCACGCCAGCCTAGCCGGCTCTTTGGCTTTTTCGAAGGTGGCGCAGAGGAGGTGGCCGATCCGGCGCCGCCCGCTGCTCACGCCGATCCGCTGACGGCGCGATTCTCTCGAGCAAATCCCGACACGCTGCTGAGGAGGCGGGACGGCGTCGAGCCGCCGACTCCGCGCAGCACCGATACGAGCGGCGCCTTGTCTTTGACCAAGTGGGTGTGGGTCTTGTGGCAGGTGGGGTGGGTGTACGGCAAGGAGGACGCCGACGCAAGCCTCGCTGAAGCCGAGTCCGCCTTCGAGAAGGCCGAGACGCACCTCGAGACGGCCGGCACGTCGCTCGACGCAGTCCCCACTGCAAAGGAGGAATGGACTGAGAAAGAGCCACGCTAGGCTGTAGGCGCGTCTCTCGGAGCACAGGCGCTGGGCCCGTTTGCCTCTCGATCCGCGACGACGCGCGACGCACTCGAAAAGGCACTGCTTCTCGATGGACTCGACGGTGACGAGCGAGACGAGGCCACCGACACCGTTGCCGCTGCCGCCGACACCGCCGCCACCGCCGCCGCCGCCGCAACCGCCGCCGCCGCCGGCATCGTCCCCGCGTCCAGCCGTGAGATCGACAGCTTCGTGGGCGGAGGGTGGACATGGCCGTGGGAAAGCGAGCCGCCGCCGCCGCCGCGATGCGACCGACCCACTCCGAAGGCCGCGGTGTCTTTCCCGGAACGGCTGGTGGGGCGGAGTGAGTGGGCAAGGCGGACGCAGCGGCAGGGCGGCAGGCCGGGCAGCTACAGCGGCTATGTCAACGTCACTCCCACCGACTGGCTCTTTTACTGGTACTTTCGCGCCGACAACACCGGCTCGCGCACGCCCAAGCCGCTGCTCGTCTGGTCCAACGGCGGGCCAGGCTGCTCGGCGATGGAGGGCGCGACGACAGAGATCAGCCCGCTGCGGCTGTTCGACATCAAGCGCGGCTGGGCGAGTGCGACGGGGCAGCTGTCGGACAACGCGTTCGCGTGGAGCGCACACGCGAGTTTGCTCTTCGTCGACCAGCCCAGGTACGTCGGCTACTCGTTCGGCTCTGGCCCGCACGTCACAAGCTCTGCGCAGGCCGGCCAAGACATGGTGGCGTTTCTGATCGGCTGGCTCCGCCTCTTCCCAGAGCACGCGCAGGCCGACGTCATCCTCGCGTCGGAGAGCTATGGCGGGCACTACGTCCCCGCATGGTCGGACGCCATTCTGGCGCACAACGACGGCGCGGCGGCAGAGGAGCGGATCCGGCTCCGCGGCTTGCTGATCGGGAACGGCAAGATCAACCAGCGCTTCGCCAGCAACGACAACTTCGAGGCCTTCCTCTCGCAGGCCCACCTGCTGCCGCCCGGGCGGGCGGCGTCGCAGCGCGCGCCGTGGGAGAACGAGTACAGCTGGCGTGTGCGGTCTCAGCTGCTGGGCGAGGCGGCGCAGTACCTCGGTTACACGCCAAACGGTTACGACTACCGCGTGCGCGCGCTGGCGTGCCCCGCCTGCGTGCAGTACAACTATACCGCGTGGAGCAGCTGGTTCCTGACGGACGAGGTGAGGCGGGCGCTTCACGTCTGTGGAGACGCGGGCCGCGGTGCCTTCGCCGGCTCTGCGGCGGGCTGCATCCGCATGCCGGGCTTCAGCGACGACTCAGTCGGCGACGGCCACTCGGAGGCGCTCGGCCGCAGCCTGGACCGAGGCGTCAAGGTGGCGCTGCTGTACGGCAAGCAGGACTCGGTCTGCGACTTTGTGCAGGGCCTCGCCACCGCGGATCACTTGCCGTGGTCGGGCGCCGCCACATTCCGATCCGCAACGATGGCGCCGCTGCGGCTGCTCGGCGCGGAGATTGGGCAGTGGAAGGCGAGCGGCGGGCTGTCCTGGTACCAGATCGACGGCGCGGGCCACATGGTGCCGCTCGACGCGCCTGCGGCGGCGCTGGGTGTGCTGGAGCGGCTGGTGCGAGAGATCGAGAGGGGTAGCCCTCGCCAGGAGGCCGACTTGGACTTCGCAGCATGAGTAGTTTGCAGTCGCACAGCACGTGGTTCTGTCTCACGTCTCGGGCTGAGCCCTGGCTGTCAGGCTGTCAGGTGCTGTCAGGTGATCTGTCGGGCTGTCGGGCAGCTGTCAGGCACTGTCAGGTGCCTCTGTCAGACCAGCTGTCAGGTGCTGTCAGTGCTGTCGGGTGCTGTCGGGTGCGTGTCTGACAGTCGAGGGGCTCTGTAGCTGTCGGGTGCTGTCGGAGCTGTCGGGTGTTGCTGGGTCAGACGCTGTCGGAGCTGTCGGAGCTGTCAGGCTGCTGCTGCTATCAGACGTTGGCTGTTGCTGTCAGGTGCTGTCCGGTGGTGCTGTCGGGCGGCGCTGTCAGGCTCTGACACACACCAGCCACACTTATGACACTATCAAGAGGAGACCACAGCAGGACTCTACTACAATACTCTAGCCTCTACTGTCTACACTCTGCTCTCTGCCTCCGCCCTGCTCCGGTCCCACCATCGGTTTTTCATGGTGTGGACGTCACCATCTTCTTGTCTGCCGCGCACTGAGGGAATAGGCAATAGCAGTAAAGCAGAGTGGCATGGTGTGTAGTGAGCAATGAGAGGTCGTCTGTACTGCTACGCATATGTAGTCGCCCAGAATGCACAGATCGGCCATGTTATGTAAATACGCGCCCGCGATCCATAGTGCGTCGGCCAGACGTCGGTATTTCGGTGTCGTGCGCCCGAGCCAAGTGGCGCCTGAGGGAGCTACAAATGTCTTGCCCCGGGCGTATTACGAATCTGTCTTCTGCATCCACCTTCGGCCGATCGGGGTGTGCCTCTCAAGGCGCGCTACGCCCCACGTACTACGCACACGCATTCCGGATTCGAGTGAGAAGTGGTGGCCGACGGGGGTTACGCCTCACGCATTGGCTAGTTCCATTTCACTCTGACACGCTAATCTTGAAAACGTCCAACGGAGCTCCGTGTTGCTCCCAGCGCCCTCCCCCGCGCTTCCTGCGGCCCTAGCCGATGGTACTAGCATGGGAGGTCATCTGGCTACCGCGAGAGCGACCCAACTCGTCGACATCGTCCGATGATGGTGCCTCAAAGTCAGCCTTCGGAGGCTATCGTGGGGTCGAGCCGGCAGTAGCCGTGACATGTGGTTCCACCACCCCTCGTAGTCTTTGCCTCTGACCGCCACCGTTCCCAGGCTGCCTAATGGGATGGAAAGGAAGGCTCGGCGAGCGTATAGAAGCGTGCTCGACCTCGTCGTGGCAACCTGCACGGCATCGCTGGCAGGCGCGATGAGCGTCGTGCCACCTGACCCGAGACGGGTCGCAGGCGTCGTACCGAGCGCGTCGAGACCGTGTCCTGATGTGATCTGCACGGGTGAGTCACGTCGGCGTCAAAGGAGCGACGTGCGACCTGTCAGAGCTTGATCTCCGATCTCAGCGGCGGCGAGTCGTCTCCGGCGCGCGACAAAGGTACATCCCCAGGACGCGCAGAGGCAGCTGCGACCCAGCGGAGTGGACGGTAACGCACCGCGCCACCTGCTGTGCGTTACCGTCCACTCGGCGGGGTCGCAGCTGCCTCTGGAAGGCACCGAGATGTACCTTTTTCGCGCAATGGTCAAAATCAAGGTTTTGTAACGCGAGCTGTGCCACAGTGAAATGGAACTAGCCATTACGCATACGTTTTACGCATTCGCACGCCCAAGGTGTCAGAGAGGGCCTACGCACCACGTACTACGCACACGCATTCCGGATTCGAGTGAGAAGTGGTGGCCGACGGGGGTTACGCCTCACGCATTACGCATACGTTTTACGCATTCGCACGCCCAAGGTGTCAGAGAGGGCCTACGCACCACGTACTACGCACACGCATTCCGGATTCGAGTGAGAAGTGGTGGCCGACGGGGGTTACGCCTCACGTATTACGCATACGTTTTACGCATTCGCACGCCCAAGGTGTCGGAGAGGGCCTACGCACCACGTACTACGCACACGCATTCCGGATTCGAGTGAGAAGTGGTGGCCGACGGGGGTTACGCCTCACGCATTACGCATACGTTTTACGCATTCGCACGCCCAAGGTGTCAGAGAGGGCCTACGCACCACGTACTACGCACACGCATTCCGGATTCGAGTGAGAAGTGGTGGCTGACGGGGGTTACGCCTCGGACGCATTACGCATACGTTTTACGCATTCGCACGCCCAAGGAGCAAGGTGTCGGAGAGGGCTTACGCACCACGTATTACGCATACGTATTACGCATCCCCCCCCCTCCCCTGAACCCTACCCCTCTGCCCCCTACCCCCCCCTAACCCCTAAACCCCTCGCGCTAAATTTGCGCTAAATTTGCGCTAAATTTGCGCTAAATTTGCGCTAAAGTGCGCTAAAGATGCAGTAGATAAACACTTCACACCGCACTAAATTTAGACCCAAGCGCCCTCCTTTGTATTCGCCCCCCCCACACGCCTTCCTTCCGGTATAAGCAGCGAAAGCGATTTTTTTTATTTTTTGTTGCCTCGCCACGCGCGGGCAGAGCCAGTCGACTCGGAGCGGGCCTCGCTCCAGACCCCTCCCCACCGCCTCTCGTGATCGCTGCCGGCGATGGGAGACCTGGAGGACACCATCGAGGTCGTCGACCTCCCCAACTTTCGCCTCGAGGGTGCCTCGGCCTTTGACGTCGACGCGTCCGGCTCTGGTGCCACCGCCGCCGCCAGCCTACCCTTGCCCTCGCCTCTGGTTTGGCAGCCTCTGATCCACCGCGCCGCGGCCGCCGCCCTGTCCTCGCGCCGCTCCGCGGCCGGCAGTGCCTGCTGGTGACTTGTCGCTGGCTTCGCCCGGCCTCGCAGGCACGACCGCGGAGGTGTACACGAGCGCGACGGTGGAGCTGCCGGAGGTGGTGCGCCTCTTCGTCGTCTACTTCAACAAGCAGCTCAAGTCGGGCAACGTCTACGAGGCCGCCGCCAGCCCCTCCCTCCCCGCCACCTGCCACCCGCCCCTCCGCCGCCCCGCCCCGCCCCCTTCACAAGCAGACTCCCCCCCCCCCCCACCCCACCCCCTCGGCAGGTTCACTCCGCCTACGAGGCGACCTTCAACAAGCTCACCGACCGCCTCTACAAGACCTCCCCCTGGCCGACTGCCGAGGTCGTCTCTCCGCTCGTCGGGGGCGAGATATGGGGAGATATGGGGAGATCTTGGGGAGATGTTGTAGGTCGTCTCTCCGCTTGTCGGGGGCGACGCCACCTTCCTGCTCCTCTACCGCGAGCTCTACTTCCGCCACCTCTACTCGCGCCTGACGCCGACCCTGCAGCAGCGGATCGACTCGTGGGCGAACTACGAGGCGCTCTTCTCGCTGCTGCTCGACGGAGACGCGCCGGCAGACTTGGTGAGCTAAAGACGGCCGGCCGTCTTTGGTGCCGCGTCCCTTCCCCTTGAGAGGGGTCCCTCCTCCTGGGACGTTAGGCGCTCCCTAACCAGTGGATCTGGGACCTGGTCGACGAGCTCATCTACCAGTTCCAGGCGTGCAGTGGGCAGTGCTCCTAGCCCCGCCCGCGGCACCGCGCGCCAGCCAAGGGGGAGGAGCCGCCCGCTGCCCGCAGGCGTGGAGCATGTTCCGCCAGCGGCTCAAGTCGAAGAGCGCGGAGGAGATGTCCCTCCTCCAGCAGCGGAGCATAATGACCAGTGACTAGTGAACAGTGAATCATCAATACTCAGGAGATCGCCATCCTCAAGCAGCGGACCGACGTCTGGAGCGTGACCTCCGTGCTCGGCATGCTCGCGCCGGACGGCGGGGCGGGGAGTCGAGCCACGCCATTGATTCGGCTGTCTGAGTGACTGCGTAGGTCTTGCTGCGCCGGCTCGCGGAGCGGGCACTTCTAGGAGCCTTCTAGGAGCCTTCTAGGAGCCTTCTAGGCATGCTGCACCGGATGGCCGAGCGGGGAAAGGAGCCGCGCTTCGCCTCGGTGCCGCTGTACGAGATCGGCGGCTACTTCGCGACGGTGGGGCTGCTTCGGGTGCAGTGCTTGCTGGCGGACTACACGCTCGCGCTCAAGACGGTGGAGGCTCGATCTCCTATGAGATGATTACTGTGTGTGTCACTGATCTGTTCTTGATGTGTGTAGGTGGAGGCTGTCGACCTCTCCCGCAAGGGGCTCTTCACGAAGGCGCGCCACGCCCCCCCCCCCCCCCGCCGCCGCTAGCTGACCGCTGAGCAGACTTTTCTTGCACTGCTTGAGAGCGCGCGGCTCCTCTCCTCTCACCACCTCGCCCCCACCCCACCCCCCCCCACCCACACACACACACACACCACCACCACCACCACCACCACCACCACACCCACACACACAAAGACAGACACGGCGTGAGAGCTTGTTGGGCAGGTCACCTCGTGCCACATCTCCCCACATCTCCCCACATCTCCCCACATCTCCCCACATCTCAGGTCACCTCGTGCCACATCTCCGTCTTCTACTACGTCGCGTTCGCCTACCTCATGAGCCGCCGGTACGTCGACGCGATCCGCACGCTCTCGCAGATCCTCTTCTACATCGGCCCGCGCCAAGCAGGACCGCAGCCCGCAGCTGTGAACGGCGCCTCTTCACGCCCCTCGGCCGTGAACAGGCCGCACCAAGCAGTACCACACACGCTCCGCCCAGTTCGAGCAGATCCTCAAGAAGAACGAGCAGATGTACGCCTTGCTCGCCATCGCTATCTCGCTCTGCCCGCAGCACCAGGCGCCATCTCTCCCCATACCTCCCCATATCTCCTTGCTCGCCATCGCTATCTCGCTCTGCCCGCAGCACAAGGGGTGGGGAGATATGAGGGGATATGGGAGATATGGGGGAGATAACTCTGCCCGCAGCACAGGCGTTAAGGGGGGGAGG